CTGGACTCCCCTCCTACCCATTTCAGCTGTTTTTTACTTCATGCCTTACATGGATTTGGCGTGTCCTCAAGGATGGTAATTGTGAAGAATGGAGCAGCTTGGGCCTTTCCTGCTGGAGGGTATCGGCAGGACAGGGTTGTCAGGGTTGTCCCTGCCAGCTCTGAAGGTGAAGACTGTATGTGACCCAGCCCCCGAGGATTTGGTATAGGCAGGCCACAGTGGCCACGCTCTGCTGTATGTGGCTGTACTGGGTGGATCCCCCCTCTGCTTGAGGACGTGGCTGGCCTCTCCTGGAGATGGCTGGGTGGCATGACTGGATTGCTCTCGCTTTCTGGCTGTTGGCCGTAGTGATGGCGAACAGAACTGAGTCATCCTTTGAACTCTGATGGCCTCCCTTTCTGTTTTGAAGTGTGTGAACCCATAGGCTAGGCTGCTACAGCAAAACCAAAGTGTGGGCTCTTACTGCACATTTTATTTTTCCCTACCTAATAGTTCAGAGGCAGTCAGTTCCCCAGGGCAGAATCAACTGTAGGGTTAGCACGAACTAGGCTTCTTCGTCTTATTGTTGGCTCACCCCAATAATGTTTTCCTCACCACAGGATCTGAGCGCACTCATTAGCTCCATATCCACAGTCCACTGCGGGAAGAGAGAAGGGAGCTTTCCCGCCAAAGTTGCTCCAATCACTGCAGACGCTTTCCTGGCACTCAGACTCGCTTTGTTTAGGATCTGCTGTGCTTCAAGAGTTGTCTTCTTGTCGAGCGTGAGCCTTGAAGTTACTCATTGACACCATTGCTTACCTACCTCACCCCTGCCACAGAAACAGTTAACCAGGCTAACACTGAGGTGCACATAGAGAGGCTCGGGAAAACTGTTAGTATACCAAGTGTAGGGTGTCGCTGAGGAGTCTGTCCTCAAAGTCTGCCAAGCAGCCTTCCCGGGGCAGGTTTTACACACAGCAGCCGCCAGGCGCTGCTCAGACCCGCCCTAGCTTCGCCATAGGATGGAGCTGTTACCCACATTGCTCGCTGTTCCTTCCCTTGATTTGGTTGTTAATGTTTGTTTATTTTGTTTCTGCACTTTAAAGATTGAGGTATGTTTTAGGTATCACAATAAAATCTGCAAATACTACATTTTGGCCTTCTATGTTTGGTCTTGTTGCAGTCTATTTACTTTGTACTCTCTGTAGGTTGCCTCAAATCCTTTGTGGGTGAGACAGTGTGCAGGCAGAATTTTGAACATACGTGCTCCTGAAAACACAGCTGTTAAATGCAGTAGACATGGACTCTTGGCGCCTGCGTAAGAAGGGCCCGTTCTTAAAAGATCAGGAGAAGCGTGTACAATCAACATCTTGTTAGTTGTAGTTGGCTTACTTGCACATTCCCAATCTTTTTTATTTTGTTTTTTTTAAGATTTTTGTTTTTAATTTTGTGTGTGTGTGTGTGTGTGTGTGTGTGTGTGTGTGTGTGTGTCTGTGAGTGTGTCCTGTGTCTGTGTGTGTGTGTGTGTGTGTTCGTGTGTGTGTGTTCGTTCCACGCCACGCCCGCCATGCCGATTCCCTGGCTATGGTGTTCCAGGCAGAAGTGGGTGCTGGGACCTGGATCGGGTCTTCTGTGAGAGCGGCAAGCACGCTTAACTACTAGGCTGTCTCTTCAGTCCTTTCATTTGCTCCTTTTCCATTTGAACTCAGGTTTGACTAGCTTTAAACCTAGTGACAGGGGCTGGAGGGATGGCTCAGAGGTTAAGAGCACTGGCTGCTCTTCCAGAGGTCCTGAGTTCAAGTCCCAGCAACCACATGGTGGCTCACAACCATCTGTAATGAGATCTGGTGCCCACTTCTGGCATGCATCTTCTGGCATGCAGGGATACATGTAGGCAGAACACTGTATACATAATAAATAAATAAACCTCAAAAAAATGCATTTTTTTTAAACCTAGTGACATGAGATGAAGCTTGAATGGCCACTTGAGTGCTTTGCTTTGTCCTTGTCCTTTAACGGGAGCATGGCACCGAAAGAACCTGCCTCAGCAGAACCCCTGATGACGGAGCGGGTGACAGCTGTGCTGGCAGCGCCACAGCTGAACTGTGACTGGTGGGAAGGCAGTGTCATCTGGCCACCGTGTGCACATCTGGACGCGGCTTCTTGGATACTGTGGGACACAGTTGTCATCATGTAACTGCTTGAAAGTTCCAGTTGTGTGCACGTTGGGATTATTTGTATAAATTTAAGGGAAAGAGGGATGATTATCATCATTTTATAAATACTAGAATCTGGAGCTTCTGATTCAGCCAGACTTGCTGCCCAGCAAGCCTCAGGAATCTGTTGTGATTACACACGTATTCCTCTACTTTTTACCTGGCGGCTGGGGATTGGACTCAGGT